TTAGTTCGAATTAGGGGGGTAGTGTAGACCAAGCCTTACTGTGAATTGACTGTGGTGATCTCAGACACAGTTACTCCACATATCTAAAAAAACTGTACTATTATTGAACAGAATCTGCTCAGCTTCCTAATAAATACATGTTTTAATGTATTTCTAAATTAGCAAACACCCAAGAGAGAGGAAACTGCCTACTGTAAGCTATACTGCACTGCTGTTATTGAAACCAAACACAATCCATGGAATGTAAGATGGTCACAGCTCAGTGCTCCAGAAGCTCTGAACATGGCCTCCAGAGATCTGAGGAAGGGGTGTTCTCTTTATGACCTCTAAGTTCAAATGTCAGGACGAGAGTGAGATTTTTTTTATATATATATTTAAGGATTATTAATATAATTACTGCACTCAAAGTGAGTAGTGATTATTTCAAACTCTGGCCTAAAACAGTTAACCTGTTTTGTCTTAAATCTTACCCAGGCAAGTATCAGTCTTGAATTCAGTGCACATTGGCTATCTTAGGCCATGTCTACGCTACAGGGACTGTAATAACATAGCTACACTGTCATAGCTATGCCAGCATAACTCCATAGTGTAGATGCAGCCTACAGCAATGGAAGTGGTTTGTCTGCTGCTGTATGAACCCCACCTCCCAAAGCACTGGTAGTTAGGTCAATGGAAGCATTCTTCTGTCAACCTAGCTGAATCTACACTGGGAGTTAGATTGGCATAGCTATAGCACTTGGGGGTGGGGGGATTTTTCACACCCTTGAGTGCTGTAGCTATTTAAATGTAGACCAGGCCCGAGGACTTGTCCTGCAGCTCGTCCGTAGTAGTAGCAGCAGAATAGCACCTTCTACATAAAGTAACAGGCAAGAGTGAAGTGCTATAGCCCACCAGACCAGGAGTATGAGGTAGACGAGGCTTTCTTCGGACAATTAACAGAAGTTCCCAGATCCCAGGCTCTGGTTCTCATGGTAGACTTCAATCACCCTGACATCTGCTGGGAGAGCAATACAGCAATGCACAGACAATCCAGGAAATTTTTGAAGAGTGTTGGGGACAACTTCCTGGTGCAAATGCTGGAGGAACTAACTAGGGGCCATGCTCCTCTTCACCTGCTGCTCACAAACAGGGAAGAATTGGTAGGGGAAGTAGAAGTGGGCAGCAACCTGGGTAGCACTGACCATGAGATGGTCGAGTTCAGGATCCTGACAAAAGGAAGAAAGGAGAGCAGCAGAATACGGACCCTGGACTTCAGAAAAGCAGACTTTGACTCCCTCAGGGAACTGATGGGCAGGATCCCCTGGGAGACTAATATGAGGGGGAAAGGAGTCCAGGAGAACTGGCTGTATTTTAAAGAATCCTTATTGAGGGTGCAGGAACCAACCATCCTTATGTGCAGAAAGAATAGCAAATATGGCAGGCGACCAGCTTGGCTTTACAGAGAAATCTTTGGTGAGCTTGAACACAAAAAGAAAGCTTACAAGAAGTGAAAACTTGGACAGATGACTAGGGAGAAGTATAAAAATATTGCTTGAGCATGCGGGGATGCAAATACTGTAGTGTATTGGGGTAGCCGTGTTAGTCTGTATCCACAAAAACAACAAGGAGTCCGGTGGCACCTTAAAGACTAACAGATTTATTTGGGCATAAGCTTTAGTGGGTAAAAAACCCACTTCTTCAGATGCATGGAATGAAAATTACAGATGCAGGCATTATTATACTGACACATGAAGAGAAGGGAGTTACCTCACAAGTGGAGAACTAAGGTTGACAGGGCCAATACAATCAGGGTGGATGTAGTTCACTCCCAGTAATTGATAAGGAGGTATCAATTCCAGGAGAGGCAAAGCTGCTTTTGTAGTGAGCCAGCCACTCCCAGTCCCTATTCAGTCTGTTAGTCTTTAAGGTGCCACCAAAGTACTGTAGTAAAATCTCTATCTTGAAAGTTGAATTTACAAATGTAAAATTATGTACAAAAAACCTGCATTCAAAAATAAAACTGTAAAACTTTAGAGCCTACAAGTCCACTCAGTCCTACTTTTTGGTCAGCCACTCAGACAAACAAGTTTGGTTACAATTTTCAGGAGATAATGCTGCCTGCTTCTTTTTTACAATATCACCTGAAAGCGAAAACAGGCATTCACATGTCACTGTTATAGCTGGCATTGCAAGATATTTACATGCCAGATGCACTAAAGATTCATATGTCCCTTCATGCTTCAACCACCATTCCAAAGGACATGCTTCCATGCTGATGATGAGTTCTACTAGATAATGATCCAAAGCAGTGCGGACTGACGCATGTTCATTTTCATCATCTGAGTCAGATGCCACCAGCAGAAGATTGATTTTTTTTTTTTGGTGGTTTGGGTTCTGTAGTTTCCACATCAGCGTGTTGCTCTTTTAAGACTTCTAAAAGCATGTTCCACACCTTGTCCCCCCCAGATTTCGGACGGCACTGCAGATTCTTAAACCTTGAGTCGAGTGTGGTAGCTATTTTTAGAAATCTCAAATCGGTACCTTTTTTGCGTTTTGTCAAATCTGCTGTGAAAGTGTTCTTAAAACAAATGTGCTGGGTCATCATCAGAGACTGCTATCACAAGAAATATATGCAGAGTGCGGGTAAAACACAGCAGGAGACATACAATTCTCCCCCAAGGAGTACAGTCACAAATTTAATTGACGCATTATTTTTTTAACGAGCATAATTAGCATGGAAGCATGTCCTCTGGAATGGTGGCCAAAGCATGAGGGGCATACGAATGGTTAGCATATTTGGCATGTAAATACCTTGCAACGCCAGCTACAAAAGTGCCATGCTAACGTCTGTTCTCACTTTCAGATGACATTGTAAATAAGAAGCAGGCAACAGTATATCCCATCAATGTAAACAACCTTGTTTGTCTTAGTGATTGGCAGAATAAGACGTAGGACTGAGTGGACTTGTAGGCGACAAAGTTTTACACTGTTTTGTTTTTGAGTGCAGTTATGTAACCAAAAAAAAATCTGCATTTGTCAGTAACACTTTCACGATAAAGAGATTGCATTTCAGTACTTGTATGAGGTGAATTGAAAAATAGGATTTCTTTTATCATTTTTACTGCGCATATATTTGTAATAAAAAATAATAATATAAAGTGAGCACTGTGCACTTTGTATTCTGTGTTGTAATTGAAATCAATATTGAAAATGTAGAAAAACATCCAAAATACTGAATACATTTCAATTGGTATTCTATTGTTATAAGTGTGATTAATCGTGATTATTTTAATTACAATTAATTTTTTTTGAGTTAATCACGTGAGTTAACTGCGATTAATTGACAGCCCTAGTTTGTTGTAAAGAAATCACTGATAGCGCAGAACTGAAGCAATCTATCACTTTACTCATTTCTTAATTCTATTCCTTCTTTTCCCTTGACATTCTCCCAGTGTTATCACTCCCAATCTTGGCATTAAAGTCCCCCATTATGAAGAAAACCTCTAGACGGGGTTCATGAAATGTCTGCTTGAAGTTCAGTGTAAAACTCGTTTATGGCACTGTCTTCTGCATACGTTGCACCTGCATATGTTGCAGGTGTTTTACAGTCACAGGACTATCTTTCCCCAGTAGTTTAATGCTCCTTATGTGTGAAAACATGAACCTAATATAAAGGCAACTCTGACCAAAAGCACCCCTGTATTCACACCCTTCACACCATTGTAATAATCTTTGTACAATATATGTCATGAGGTATCATTTGAAAACTAATAACTCACTGGTCAATAACAGCATGGTGAAAAGTATGTAGCAACATTACGTGTAAAGTTATGAAATCCCCCTGTATGATGTAATTAGCACATGTTCAAATACACACAGGCCTGACTCAGCAAAAGTTGTTAAACAGATCTATCCAGGCCGGATTTCCAATTACTCACAGTAGACTCATGCTTAGGGACGCTGGTGTTTTAGGGGTGCCTAAAAATTCAAAGTTTGTTTCTCCTGGCTCCAGCAGGGGGGAGGGGCTGGCTGAGGGGGAGACGGCCCCATGCAGCCCAGCTGAAGCGTTCCTGGCAGCAGGGAAGGCGAAGCAGCCTTCTGTGGCAGGGGAAGAACTCAGAGCAGTCCAATGCAGGAGGCCCTGCTGGGCAAGTGAGTCCTGAGGGAGCCTGGCCTGGGCAGGCCCTGCTCCTGCTCCAGCCTAGCTGATCGTGCCACTCCCGAAGGGCCATGGCGATCCCTGACTAGCGCCGACCACACTGCCGGTTCAGCCCAGCAGACACAGTCATCTCCCAATGGGGCCGGTGAGTCCGGCAGGGGGGCAGAAGGGGGCGGGAGAGTGGGTCTCTAGGGAGGGTTGGGGGGGGGGCCCTCTGGTCAGTGGGGTAGGTCTGTGTG